GGTTTTGCAAAGGGACTGTTGATGGGGAGCATGGGAATGATTTATGTTGGTTGGTCTTTTCAGGCTTGGTTAGGTACTTATTTGGTGACAGAAAAAGGAGAAAAAGGAGGCTCTATCTTCGTAGCTGGAATCAATATCATCATGGGAGGATTGTAAGTTCCTTTTGTTTCTATTTTCCTCTTTTGATAATTTCTTTGAAGCAGACTAACTGATTTAATTTGAGTTCAAGAACTCATAGTTTTTACTCTGCAATTGCAGGAGTGTTTTAGGAGCACTCCCAAATCTAACTTCCATCACAGAGGCAATGGCTGCTTCTACTCGTATTTTTCAAATGATTGATCGAACTCCTAGTATAGACTCGGAGGATAAGAAGGGGAAGGCTTTGTCATATATAAGGGGAGAAATTCAATTTCAGGACATATATTTTAATTATCCATCAAGACCTGATACACCAATCTTGCAAGGCTTGAATCTCACGATTCCAGCTGGTAAGACAGTTGGTCTTGTGGGAGGCAGTGGTTCTGGAAAATCCACAGTGATTTCATTGCTGCAAAGATTTTATGACCCCAACGAAGGACAAATTCTCTTGGATGGACACAAAGTAAATAGGCTTCAGCTCAAATGGTGGAGATCGCAAATGGGTCTGGTTAACCAGGAACCAGTCCTCTTTGCAACATCTATAAAGGAGAATATACTGTTTGGGAAGGAAGGAGCATCGATGGACGATGTGGTAAATGCTGCTAAGGATGCAAATGCTCATGACTTCATTACCAAGTTAACAGATGGATATGAAACTCAAGTAAGCTATCTTTTTGTTCTTTTTTAAACTAAAAATTTATTTCTCGAATTCATTTCAATAGAATTTCATAGAAATATTGATGTAAAGAAATTCTAACAGCAGGTCTCAGATGTTTCTTTAGTAAGAAAATGGAAAACGATTAATTTATGAATTTTGTTTTTAGGCATTTAACTCAAATTCTGTATGTTAAGTTAACATGCTATTCTTGATTTCCTAGACATTTATTCAACACTGTCATATTTGGCATTTAATTTAGTTAACTAGAATTCTTGAGGTCTGAAAAGGTCAGAACGTAAGATAGATTACAGTAGTTCCTGAATTTAAACACCATCTTCATGAATTCCTCAGGTTGGTCAATTTGGATTCCAACTATCTGGTGGCCAAAAGCAGAGAATTGCCATAGCAAGGGCTCTGATTAGGGACCCCAAAATCCTGCTTCTTGATGAAGCAACCAGTGCACTGGATGTACAGTCAGAAAGAATAGTTCAGGACGCAATAGATGAGGCATCGAAAGGAAGGACAACAATCACCATTGCGCATCGCCTCTCCACAATCAGAACAGCAAACCTTATTGTGGTTCTACAAGCAGGGAGAGTAATCGAATCAGGTTCACATGAACAGCTAATGCAAAAAAATGATGGGCAGGGCGGGGAATACTTCCGGATGGTGCAGTTGCAGATGGCATCACAAAATGAAGCTTCTAATGACATCACTTATCACAGTGATGGGCATAGCTTCCACAGGATGAGTCCTGCGCCAAGCCCACTGAGTGTGAGGAGAAGCGTTCCAGGCACTCCACTGTTAAACCCCTTTAGCCCGGCATTCTCTATGGGCACCCCTTATTCCTTCTCAATCTACGATCCCGCAGATGAAAGTTTCGAAGATGATTTATACCAACTGAATTATCCAGCTCCTTCTCAGTGGCGTCTGCTGAGAATGAATGCACCGGAATGGGGAAGTGCCTTGATTGGATGCTTGGCGGCAATAGGTTCTGGAGCAGTTCAACCTATTAATGCTTACTGTGTGGGATCACTCATATCGAACTACTTTCTCAGTGACAAATCCGCCGCGAAGCATAAATCCAATAAATTGTCTCTTGTTTTCTTAGGCATTGCTGCTCTAGATTTCATCACCAGTCTCCTCCAACACTACAATTTTGCAGTCATGGGAGAAAAGTTGACAAGGAGAGTACGTGAGAAACTGCTAGCAAAGCTGATGACTTTTGAAATAGGGTGGTTTGATGATGACGAAAACACAAGTGCATCAATTTGTGCAAAGTTAGCCACCGAAGCCAACATGTTTCGATCCCTTGTTGGGGACCGAATGTCATTGCTGGTTCAAGCATTCTTCGGGTCTCTCTTTGCTTATACACTAGGCCTTATTCTCACGTGGAGGCTAGCCCTTGTGATGATTGCAGTACAGCCATTAGTTGTTGGGAGCTATTATTCAAAGAGTGTTTTGATGAAAAGCATGGCAGGGAAGGCACAAAAGGCTCAAAAGGAAGGAAGTCAGTTGGCAAGTGAAGCTGTTATTAACCATAGAACCATAACCGCATTCTCTTCTCAGAGGAGAATGTTGGGGCTTTTCAGAGCTACCTTGAGAGGTCCCAGAGAGGAGAGTACTAGACACTCTTGGTTGTCAGGTTTTGGCCTGTTTAGCTCACAATTTCTTAATACAGCTTCTACTGCACTAGCTTTCTGGTACGGAGGAAGGCTTTTGACGGAAGGTTTGATATCCCCAGAGCACCTTTTCCAGGCATTTTTGATACTGCTTTTCTCTGCTTATGTCATTGCAGAAGCTGGAAGTACGACCAACGATTTATCGAAAGGAGGGAATGCCATTCGATCGGTGTTAGCAATCCTAGACAGGAAAAGCGAGATTGACCCAAATAACTCTTGGGGTGCTTTGGACATCAAAAAGAAGTTGAAGGGCCAAGTAGAGTTCAACAATGTCTTCTTTGCATACCCTACAAGACCAGACCAAATGATCTTCAAGGGCTTGAACCTTAAAATTGATGCAGGGAAGACAATGGCACTGGTGGGACCAAGTGGTTCTGGAAAATCTACCGTCATTGGACTTATCGAGAGGTTTTATGATCCCACGAAAGGAACAGTTTTTATTGATGGACAGGACGTAAAGAGCTACAATCTGAGGTTGCTGAGATCTCATGTTGCATTAGTCAGCCAGGAACCAACACTGTTTGCTGGTACTATCCGTGAAAATATTGCCTATGGTAAAGAGGATGCAAGAGAATCTGAGATACGAAAGGCTGCAGTTCTTGCCAATGCACATGAATTCATCAGGTATGAAAGATGTTATAGTCAATGTTACAGAATTAATTTTCCATCCAAAAGAAGTAATGGTTATAACTTTTAAGGGCGAAAATTGAGCTGTCTAAGGACGCATTATGATATAAATTAACAAAATATGTAAATATTCTTTGCCTGGTTTTGATCTGAGAATCTGCAAATTGAAGCTATTAACCTCTCATTCCATTTCATTTGTGCCTTTTTTGCAGTGGAATGAAAGATGGATATGATACCTACTGTGGAGAAAGAGGGGTTCAGTTGTCTGGAGGTCAAAAGCAAAGGATAGCACTTGCTCGTGCGATAATCAAGGACCCATCAATCCTCTTGCTGGATGAGGCAACTAGTGCACTTGACAGTGTGTCAGAGAGCTTAGTTCAAGAGGCACTTGAGAAGATGATGGTTGGCAGAACATGTGTAGTTATTGCTCATCGGCTGTCAACAATACAGAAATCCAACAGCATTTCAGTTATCAAGAATGGAAAAGTTGTGGAACAAGGTTCACACCGTGAACTAATGGAATTGGGTAGTGGAGGAGCGTACTACTCTCTGACAAGAATACAAAGTGGAAGCTCCTCTTATCATTGAAGCAGGATGGTTGTTCTTATCAGAATTCCTTCCTATCAAATAATCAGGAAATAACCTGGAGGGTAATGGATCCTTTATCTATGCAAAAGTTATTCCCTGGCACTTGTGGTATCATTGTTGATCATCCATCCTTTCCCTCGCAAAAGGGATTTTAAAATGTTTATATTTGTAGTACGTATTTGTGCAAGCTGACAGGATTTGGCCACAACATCCTGCCTAATCTTGCAATGCCTTCTTTTCCTTGATTTTGTTTACGTTGCTGGAAGTTATCTCTTCTTGGATGCTATTAAACATCTTATGCAATGGCCTTCCTGTACTACAAATATAAAAGATGAAGAGTACAGAATTTTGGTGTTCATATTCAATATGATTTGTATTAAAAACTTGCATCTTTCTTTTTGTCTGTTGATACTTGCTTGCATGATGATACTTGCATCCTCATTTACCTCATCGATTCTTCTTACTTACTATCATTTATGGAACAGAAGCTTCTATTCAATTATTGATTCTTGAGAGATCTATTTCAACTCCTTTGTGTGATGTTGGCTTATAGTTCCCTCACGTAGAAGATGCATGCATAAAGCAAGAGAAATGAGAAGCATATAAAATGCCATTTTTGCTCTTTTATACACTGCATTATTAGTGATTGCCAGGGTGCAAAATCCTGGCAGATGTTCGGAGGTGAATTCGTCATAGAATATGGAAATGGAAGGTTTCTGTCTTCTGAGTATTTCGAGGTGAGAAGACCTGGAAAAATACTAATCCTTCTTTGCAGAAAGTGAGTTCTGACACCCACTTTAACCCTAGTTTAACATCCGGAGAAATACCAGTTGTTTCTCAACATAAGAAATATGTAAGATCAAAACTATGTGAACGCTGATATAATTATTCTTCATGAATAAAGAAGATCACTGTCAAAGAAATATTTTAAAATATAAACTATTAGATCATTGTCTGCATGCTGTGAAACATCATCCTTGGCAAAGTTTTGACGGAGGATAAATTTAAGCATTTTGATTGTTACATGTGAGAAAAGGTCATGTATACAGCACATGGATGGAATCTGAGAAAGATGAATTTATCTAAATGTCTTATGCAATGATTACTTACAAGAACAAGAATCTAAAAATGCATACCGAGTTGACATATTCATTGTCTTGGATAAATGAGACTCTGATACACATTTCTCTTTTTCTTTCATAGAAGAAAGGCAATTAACAACTAGTTTTAAGGGACAGAAAGATCTGTTACATAATCATTGGAGGAAAATCTAAAGTACTATATCTTGTTTCTATTTCATTGGCAGGAGATGACAAACTGCAGGCAGAATTTGTATGCGGAACATTTGCAAAATGTGAAATCAAATAACAACCAAGAAAAAGGGAGCATAGGGAGCATAGCGAGTTACTGCCCCTACATAACTATGGAAACGCAAAGAATGATTCTAACCTCGTGATCATCACTTCAAGGACAAACTATTATTTATTTAATGTCTAATGTCTATATCTTCAGCAATAGTGAGAGATGACGACTCTTGGCAGGTTTGTAGACCAGCATGTAGACAAAATAAATAGTGAGCCAAAGCATTGGGCGACGGATATCAATATGACTATTTTTTTAATTCCTTGGCCACCTTATGAAGAACCAAGTGCCGGCTAATTTACTAGATGGCTGGATGCTTCTGGCATTTCATAACAGTATAATGAGATAATAACAATACAGGAAAACATAGGGTGTTGTACATAATTAAACAAATGAATTATCCAGTCCCTTCTGAATGGCGTCTGCTGAAAATGAACGCACCTGAATGGGGACGTGCCTTGATTGGATGCTTGGCCGCGATAGGTGCTGTAGCTATTCAACCTATTAATGCTTACTGTGTGGGATCACTAGTATCGAAATACTTCCGCAGTGACAAATCTGCTGTAAACAATAAGTCCAACATATCGGCATTGATTTCTGTAGTTATTGGTGCTCTCAACTTCATCACCAGCCTCCTTCAACATTATAATTTTACAGTTATGGGTGAGAGGTTGACAAAAAGAGTACGCAAGAAACGGCAAGCAAAGCTGATGACTTATGAGATGGGTTGGTTTGATGATGATGAGAATACTAGTGCAGCAAGTTGTGCAAGGCTAGCCACTGAAGCCAGCATTTTTTGGTCCCTTTTTGGGGATAGGATGTCATTGCTAGAACAAACTTTCTTTGGTTCTGTCTTTGCATATGCACCAGGACTTGTTCTCACATGGAGGATAACCCTTGTTGTGATTGATTAAAGACTGTTTTGATGAAAAGTGAGGCCGGGAAAGCACAAAAAGCACAAATGGAAGGAAGCTAACTAGCAAGGAAGCCGTTATTAACCACAGAACTATGGCTGCATTCTCTTCTGAGAAGAGAATGTTGAGGTTTTTCAAAGCCACCTTCAGAGGTCCTGAAGAAGAAAGTGTTAAAACACTTCAGGTTTTGGCCTGTTTAGCTCCCAAGTTTTTTAACACAGCTTTTATCACACTAACATACTGGTATGGTTGGAGCTCATGACAGAACGGTTAACAACTTCATAGCACCTTTTCCTAGCATTTTTATACTTCTTTTCACTGCTTATGTCATCAGAAGCTGGAAGCATGACTAATGATTTATCCAAAGTTGGCAATGCCATTCGAGCAGTATATGCAATTCTCGATAGGAAAAGCGAGATTGATTCAAATAACTCGTTGGGTACTTCAAACATCAAGAGAAAGCTAAACATCCAAGTGGAGCTCAACAATGTCTTTGCATATCCAACAAGACCAGATCAAATTATCTTCAATGTCTTGGACCTTAAAATTGATGCAGGGAAGACAGTGGCACTGATGGGGTCAAGTGGTTCTGGAAAATATACCATCATTGGACTTATTGGAAGGTTTTATGATTCCTTGAAAGGAGCAGTTTTTATTGATCTACAGGAGATAACGAGCTTCAATTTGAGAACTCTAGGATCTCATATTGCACTAGTCAGTCATGAACAACACTGTTTGGTGGAAATTGGGTGAAAATATTCCCTATGGTAGAGGATGCAAGAGAATCTGAGATACGAAAGGCTGCAGTTCTTGCTACTGCACAAGAATTTATCAGGTATATTGCAGTCAAAAAAATAAAAACTCCTACTCAGCCATGTGCGTATGAGTAGTACTAATTTTTCAGACAGTTTCATGCTTTGACAGGGAAAAAAAAAAAAATCCTTTGCCTTGTTTGATTTAACACGCTGCAAAAAGGAAGCTATTAATCTTTTTTTTGTGCTTTTCTTCAGTGGAATGAAAGATGGGTATGATACCTACTGTGGAGAAAGAGAATTTCAGCTATCAGGAGGTGCACTTGCTCGTGCGATCCTGAAGGATCTATCAATCCTGTTGTTGGACGAGGCAACCAGCACTTGACAGTGTGTCAGAGAGCTTAGTTAAAGAGGCACTAGAGAAGTTGATGGTTGGCAGCTCGCGTGTAGCTATTGCTCACAGACTATCAACAAATCAGAAATCCAACTGCATTGCAGTTATCAAGAAAGGAAAGGTTGCAGAACAAGGCTGCCACAAAGAACTTCTCGCATTAGGTCGCGATGGAGCATGCTACTTTGTTACAGAACCACTAACGGGCAGCTCCCTTTTTCATTGAAGCAGAATCACTGTAGGAAACTACATGATACAATGCAATAAGATTGCTTACTGTCAGGAATAGCAAGATTTTTGAAGCAGAGTCTGAAACTCCATAATGCCGCAACTTAAATTTAGCATGCTACATGCTCCTCAAGCTCAGAAATCATGCTTCTAATTAAAATAAAATTAAACGAAATCATTAGTATCAGATCATGGGAAGGAAATTATGTTTTCCATTTGAGCTAAATGCCATCTCTTTCCGTGCTTATGACATATGACAGCACCCTGCTATGCTTCATTCCTTGTAGAAAATGTGTACGAAAAACCCACAAATTTCTCATACTTTCACTTCATCGCAGTTTGCATTGCATTCTCGTAATCACCAAAGAAAGAATTGCAGGAAATTACCATTTCAAGTCAGTTTTTTTTCCTTTTCTTTCATCTAAATAAAGCCACTTAATAATACAATGAAATTCCATCTTTTACTTCATATGCTTGTTTCAAGTATCTCTTGAATTCGATACCCTATCTAATGTTAGCTCGAAGATATCTTTTCCAATAAATCTGAAATAAAATATGATGATTATTGTTATCAGCCAAGCCATTCTACCCCAGAACTGAGAGTATTCGTGGGGTAGATGGTGTATTTTAAATAAAGATGACCTCTTCTAGGGTATGAATATGTATGAACCATTTCCCAATAAAGTTGCATTGCCAAGAAATTTCGACATCAAACCTCGCGCATCAACAGGCGTACCCAGAAATTTCCTGCATAACCGTACTTGAAAATAATTAAGCAAAGGCGTGGCACCACAGCTTAAAAATACAAGGAAAGGGGTTATGATTTCTGTGAAATTGCAAGGAAAATGGCAGGTGCCTTCTTGTTTCGATCTTTAATCCATGGCAAAACTTAGAAACCAACATCCAATTACTTGCTTTCCTCGATCAATCAAAGTCTTCTTTTCACATGTCAGAATACGAATCTCAGTCCACATGACAATGACAGTGAACCTTTTTCTCTCTTTTCACACCTCCAATATATATATATATATTTTTTATAGCCAAGTTTGTCATTACACATTAACAAAAGCACCCACGAATAGAAGATGGTTTTAGTGATTACATTTGTTTTTTTTTTAACTTTCTGATATTACACTGGAATACTGGAGGTCTAACTGTTCGTAAAATCAGATCCTTTAACTATCAGTCCAACCCTGTTTGTTCAAATTCTCGCTACCAAAACAAACAAAAAAAACCTTCAGTGCACCATTACTCAGCTTGATTGAAAGTGAAATCTAGATTACATGAATTTGAAACCCAGTAGCACAACTTAACTGCTATTCTCTGCGTCTGGCCTTATAGAATAAAAAACACTTTTTTTCTGTGGCTTGGCGCAGTAGACAAGACTAGATTAAACACAAAGATTATTAACATTTACAATGGTCTGCTTTAAAAACTAGACTAAGGTAGTGTTTTATTATGGGATAGCGGTTGCTTTTGAAATACCCATGAAAATAATATTTTTTTTTTCAAAATATAGTTTTGACTTAAATTAAAAAAAATAAAGCAAAAAAGTAATAATTTAATACCGAAACAACAATCATGCCCTTAAAATGTTCATTGCTGCTCTCATGTTTTACCAGGATCTAACGTTAGTGAGTCATGCACAGGATTATCATGCTTTCACTTTAGATAGCACTTTCAGATCCCTAGCAGAGCTGGAGGACCTGGTCTGCCACACAAGAGACGTCCTCATAAATTCTCTGGTAATTGCTTGTTGAAAAACATTTCCCATTATCATCAGCATATATATTGTACTTCAAAAGTCCATATCTTGTCTTTAACGAAGAGTAGGGAATCTAATGCAAGCAACAACGCAACTATTTTCTTTCACAAATTACCATATCATTGCTCAATAGAGTAAGAAAATGAGTTTTTTTTGCTCAAAATGAGTATCCAACTATCAGAGTTATACGACCCAACCAGGGTCGAACACGCCAAGGACTTGATTCACAAGTTAACTCCTAGAGATCGGCGAGTCAACCCAAGATATGAAGTCAATAAGTTGCTAAGATGACCCCTCCGTTAAGGTTTATAACAATGCCAACAATGAGGTGAAAAGGCGAATAGAAAAGATGCTTATATGGGGAAAACAGCCATTTTGGGTGACCAATTTTCTTTCCAACAAACAGCATATGGTCTCAGAAAACTTGTATATGGGGAAAGATAAAAGGCCTGCTTTAGAACCATGATTCCCAGCTATGTGAACCATTCATCAAGCAAACCGTATTGTCTTGAATAGAAAATAAAAACATCAAGCAAGCTTAGCATGCAGACCCTCGTTCTGATCTGTGAAAAACCCCTCTCATCTCATGTAATCATCACCTCAAAACTAAATAAGGGGACTGCAGCCCACAAGTTAAAGCATACACTCACTCCAACCATTGTTTCGCTCATGAAGCTGACCATTCTAAAAGAAAACTGGTGGAGATGTTTATAAGCTGTCCTTAGCATCTGGTAGCCGAATATTTTCACCAGAAATGAAACTTGTATGCTTCAACACATCACTGGCAAATCCATCACAATATGGTCAAATCGATTTCAATACTAAAAAAATAAACCACAACTTCCATGTATATATTGCAGATACAATCTGTTAGTGACAACAACAACAGCGACCAAAGGATTTCCAAGAAATAAAAATATATATATAAAAAATCATCACAAAATCCAAACATGCTACAAGAAAGTAGAAACAATGCCATCTAAAAATCACCAAAAACCAAGCAAGCCTAAAACCAAGAAATTAACAAAAAAAACTCCCATTTTCCCGTAATAGCTCCTAATCTTATTTGCATTAGACTTGAGCTTTAAATCTTTGCGGTTGACTTTAATCACGGTACCATTGACTTCAAAATCAAGCCCTACCCTGATCTTGTCCCTCTTAGTTTTGAACATAAGAATCTTGTACCTCACTGAAGTAGCCAAATCCACCCTGAAAAACGTCGTCATCGACCCATTTACTGCAGGAATCGCCTGGACAACCACTTTCTGGTCAATATTTGGAATGGTAAAATTCTTTGTAGCCTTCTTTTTATGCCCCTGATAAAACTTTGGTATAGTTAAATTCCCAATAAAGTGGGACCTATTTGGACTGTCAAAAAATGTAACGTTTATAGGATCATAGTACACACCCTTGTCTTTGTTGGTGTTTTTAAGCCTAAGTTCAAACTCAAGTTTTGTAAGGTTTGAGGTTTGGGTAAGAGGAATATAAAATTTTCTAAGTAGACAATCAGGTGATGAAGTACGTAAGCTGAGCCACATGAAAAGTGATGTCAGCCCTAAAGTGAATATGAAGCTACAACAGCACCTACAACAACCAGCTCCACCGGTATCCGGCATGACGAGGTGGCTTTCCGGTGAAGCTGAAAAGGGGTTAAAGGAACGATGGAGGAGATCAAGAAGAGGGAGAGATTGTATTGTTTGCGTAGAGAGAATAATTAAAGCTGTGGTCTTTGTTTTTTCTCCTTTATAGAGGAGAAGAAGGGGTTGACGGGGACACACTGCGCGTTGTGGCTTTCTGTTGGTTTAGAGATGTGATAAAGGTACATGCAGGTCGTTTTGGTATTATATCTTGGCCAATGAGATCTTAGGTTGGTGAGAGAAATGAAGAAGCTTGACTATATTGGCCAATGAGGTTGTAGGGCAGTGAGAGGAGTACATGCATGGCAGGTGAGTCCATTATTGCTCCTCGCCAGTACAAAATCACAGGTACCTGGCGTCTTACATCAAGTAGCTTATAGTATTAATTGATTATTAATATTTTTCACAATGGAATACAAGGTCTTCTGATCAGTCAGAATTAAATATTTATTAGTTCAAAAAATATATTAGATAATTACATCTAACATCGTGTTTTTTAAACAAATATAGTTTTTTTTTTATAAAATTGACGTGATGAAATAAATTAGAAGAAACGACACCATTGCATATAATAAATATAAATATATATAGTTTTCTCATGATTCTCTTTCTCTCTTGTATACATGAATTTTCTTTCTACCTTATCACTCTTTTGGAATACGTGACACCCATTAAGAAACACTAAATCTAATATTATATTTGTTTATTGTAAAGTAAATT